CCTGTCTCAAAAAAAAACAAAAAACAAAAAACAAAAAACAGATTTCCTCTCCTGAACTATAGTATCAAACAATCAAGATATCTTAATATAGTAATTCCTCTCATGCTCAGTGGTAGGTTACTGAATTGAAGTATAACTTAGTCTTTTCTTCTTTATGTGCAGTGAAATTTGAAAACTTGGCCACCTATAGCCCTTCCCCAAAGTAGTTTAAGAATAATGCTATCAGCTTCCTTTTCTTCTTATTCTTTTGTTTTATATTTGTTCAGTTTACGGTTCTATTATGGTCTATTCTTTTGGAAAGAACTGATGTTGATTTATTTAGAAAAAAATAAGTTTTATATATGTGTTGATTTTCCAGGGTATTCCCTAACCCTGAATCTTAGCTGTGTCTCTTTAGCCTGAGTTAAAATTTTCACTATGAAATCACTCACATATAGGGTAAATTCCATTTCCCAAACGGCATGTTATAGTTTAAGTATTGGGTTCATTTGAGTCACACTCTGATTTTGTGTCTGAGTGCACAGCATAGGCAGGCCCTGGGAAAGCATTCTCAGAGCACTACATCAAGGAAAGGCTTGACACCTGCAGAGGGAAAACATGTCCTTCAAAAGACAGAAACGTGGGCCGGGGATTTAGCTCAGCGGTTCGGTGTCAAAAAGACAGAAACGCGAGAGCTCACAAAAAGCCGACCCAAGGCAAGGCCATTTCAGGCTGCAGAACAAAATGAAAGAAATGCATTTAGGAGCTGGGAATTTAGCTCAGTGGCACCCTACCTGTCCCACAAGTGCAAGGTCCTGGAGTTCAATCCCCAGAACCAGAAGAAAAAACAAAAGAAATGCATTTAGCTAGGAATGGCGGTGCATGTCTGTAATCCAGCTACTTTGGAGGTTGGGGAAGGAAGACTGTGAATTTAACATTACCCTAGACAACACAGTGAGCCAGTGTTTCAAGAAGGGGAAGGGGAAGAGGAGTAGGAAGGGAAGAAGGAAAGGAGAGAAGGAAGGAAGGAAAGAGAGAAGAGATAAGCATTTAGCTCAACTATTTCTGCAGGTTTGGAACACAGTCTTTCCCTGTAATGTTGCTCTCCCACTCCACCCACCCCTGGGACAGAGCAACTCCACTTTAAAGGAGAGACTATGGCTTCAAAGCACATGCGATTGAACCCCTTGTTGGTTTTACTACTATGTGTGCCAAAAGACTGAAAAAGTTAATAGGCTTCAGCGTCCTTCTGCTCCTTTTACGGTGGGGGTAGAAGAGGTAATGGTAATGTAGGAAAGAAGGGGAAGAACAGCACAGGTCAGAGACACAGCGCAGTATGAGTGGGTGATGCAAGCCCTTCTGACTTCTTGAAAAGTACAGTTTGGTTTTCTGGGTGTAAACCAGTTAAAGATTTTCTTCTGCTCCCCCCCCCACAGTATACTCTTACCCTTCCCTGGTCAGTCCTTGGATACATCTAGGTCCTAATTTGGTTTAAGTAAACGAGGGGATGGCCACGGAGGCAAGGCCTCCTATTTCCTGCTGAAGAGTGAGCAGTCATGTTTTACCCTCCTAACCCTCACAAAGCATGCCCTTCATGCCCTTCGTCACAGAAAAGGATCAAAGCAAATCCATTTCCATTCTCGGAAAAGCCGCTCAAAGCACGTGTTCTCTTGATGGTGCCGCTGCCATTTCTGTGTGGTAAACAAACAGTTATTGAACACTCACCTTGGATACTACTGGGGGATATGGAAAGGAATACATTGCTCAGAGAGGTTAGTATACCTAGCAAAGGAAATTGGCACATGCCTGAAAATGCTGAAACGCTGAAAAACCAAGCCCATCTTCAAGGGCTGATGGTGATGAATGCAGAAGGCTCCGGTTTATGCTTTGGTAATCAGGCATTTGAAGATGACATTTTAAAACAAGAACAACACTTTTTCTCTCCTCTGCTCTCCTTCCCAACCATCTGACCTGAAGATTATAAAGAGGTCTTTGGCATATTCGAGGTACAAGACACAACCAGAAAAACAAACTTTTTCCTTTCCACTTGCAAAAGACTGCTTATTTTGTTAGTAGTTCTAAGCCAACTTTCAGTCAGTCAATGGAGAGTATTATATTGAGGCCGACAAATATATTTAATAATTCACTATGGGAAAAGAAATTATCAAATCTTTTCAAATTATTCTGGCCTATCAAAATGATAGTTATTAGCCAGGTGGTGGTACATGCCTAACCCCAGCACTCTGGGAGGTTGAAATAGGAGGATCACAAGTGAGCCCAGCCTGTGCAGCATAATGATTTAGCAAGACTTTTATCTCAAAATAAAAAATGAGAAGAGCTAGGGACATAGCTCAGTGCAAGGCCCTGGGTTCAATATACAATACTATATGTACGTGTGGGGGGGTGGTAATTACTATTTTCTAAACATTTACTGTGCTCCAGATGCCACACTAAACTCTTCTATATATGCTATCACAATAAATGCCTATGGAATTTAAGGTAGCTGTTGTATTCCCTACTTTTTTTATTTTCTCTATTTTACAAGCAAGGAAAGTGAGACTTTATGTGGCTATGTAACTTGGCCAACTCAAGTGGTGTAGAGGTAATGCCCTACAAATGTAGATCAAGGTTGGCTTGATCTGAAGCCTCCTGCCTTTAGCTACATTATAATGCTTCATTGTGAAGCACTGAAGTCTAACAATGAATTTGCAAGGTGCCTTATCCACTCCAAAATATACCCCAACTACCTGTCTGAGTCATTTGAAAGTGCTGCAGTATTAAACACACTTAAAGAGAAGGCACATTGACCAAAGAAGTCAAGTTATATGTGTGCGGTCACAGGCAACATTTCTTTTCCTTATTTGTGGTAAAAAACATAACCAGAACAAACTTCTTCCTTTCCACTTCCAAAGACATTCACCGGAAGCATGAATTCTTGGTCTTTAAACAGCAACATCTCAGAATCTCAAAATACTGGGACTTCTGAAAATATACAAGGAAGGCCAGACACCACCAGGTGGACGTCAGGAACTAAAAATAGAATGCTCAAAACACAGTATGGATAGTAACATATGTGTATTATTTTTGTGCATGCGGACAAAAGTTTATCTCAAGATGGTGTCCACATACACATTTTTTCAACCATTATAAAAAGGCTGACGGAAGAGAAATTTATTTTCAAAATTAATAAAGAGCCACAATATACTGTTGTATTACTTGGAAAGCAAAGAAAGCCACTCAGCCCCTTGGGGCTGAGTTTGCAAACAGAAATTTCAAATGTGATGTTTGGCTCTGAAGGTCATTCTTGAAAGGGCTTTATTTTGTAGATAAGAAAACTTGGACCCGGCTGTAAGACATTATGATCTGACCTAGGGGTGGAGACATTATCAGGCAGCTTTGATTTTCTGCTGCCTTCCAGAATAGCTTCTATGGAATTCCAGAATTACCAGAATTCTGCTCATTTCCCAAGCCCATTGAGGGTGCTAAGAAGGGGGCGCTTCCAGGCCTTGAGACCAGGCCTCTACAGGCTCCAAAGGCAACCACCCTTGCCCAGCCCAGGGCTCCACCGGCTCTCGCGCCTCGCGTGGCTCTCTTACAACAAAGCAAATTCGGTTTCTCTGGTTCTGGATTTAATAGGGAGGTCCCCTAGCAAACCTATGCACCTTGGAGGCGGCGAAGG